TGTTTGATCCCAGGAGTCAAACTTCATTCAAGGTCGTTTTAGTGCCTAAACAACAAGCAAAGTCGGAGTGACTCCTGGAAGCGGAGCAGGAAGCCCTTAGGCCCTCGTTAAGAGCCTTTTAATGACAGTTAACTGATGCAACTGCAGGGCTTGACCAATCACAGCCTAGCAAAAGGAAGTCGATTCATTTGCGGTCTTTGTAAAAAAGAGAAGAGAAAAGAAAAGGTTGCTGGGACTTGGATGTGCAGCATAAAGAGCCCAATGGGAGAAAAGAAAGAAAGGAAGGAAGAAAAGAAAGAAAGAAAGGAAGGAAGAAAAGAAAGAAAGAAAGAAAGAAAGGAAGGAAAGAAAGAAAGAAAGAAAGAAAAGAAAGAAAGAAAGAAAGAAAGGAAGGAAGGAAGAAAAGAAAGAAAGAAAGGAAGGAAGGAAGGAAGAAAAGAAAGAAAGGAAGGAAGGAAGGAAAGAAAGAAAGGAAGAAAAGAAAGAAAGAAAGAAAGGAAGAAAGGAAGAAAAGAAAGAAAGAAAGGAAGGAAGGAAGAAAAGAAAGAAAGAAAGGAAGGAAGAAAAGAAAGAAAAGAAGAAAGAAAGAAAGAAAGAAAGAAGACGTGAGAAGCTGCTGGAGGAGGAAGGCAGAAACCCCCCCCCCCCAGGACAGGGGGAGGAAACGGACCGAGTAGCAGTTGTCAAAGCTGCTTCCTGCCCTGGGAGCCGATTTCCAAACCGACGCTGCGCCGCGCCGAGAGCGGGGAAAGGCCGGGCGGGCTATTCTTAGCCGCTCCGAGGACCGTCCTTGGTCTGCCTTGTTTCCAGCTTTGAATCGCGGCCGTCGGGTGAATAGCCTTCAAAATGCCGAACCTTCCCGGGGTTTTTCCTTTGGACCCCTCGGGCTCATCCGATTGGGATCCGACTCTGCCCCGCTAAGCAGGCCGCTTGCCCGGCAGGAAGCCAATAGGCTTTTAGTCCCCAGGAGCCTTCTTTTCCTGAAACAAGGCAAGGCGGTACGTTGCCCGTGATGGCTTGGTTGCTCCTGGTTTGTCTTTTAGTTCTGGTCCCCCTCAAATGGCTTTCTGACTTGGCCAGAATCTCGAGTTTCTTTCAGATTGAAATGGAATTCACTCACTCTATGCAGGAGTTCTTCCTTCCTTCCTTCCTTTCCTCCTCCCTCTCTCCCTCCTTTCCTTCCTTCCTTTCTTCCCTCCCTCCTTCCTTCCTCCTTCCCTTCCTTCCTTCCTTTCCTCCTCCCTCTCTCCTTTCCTTCCTTTCTTTCCTCCTTCCTCCCCTGCTTCCCTCCCTCCCTCCTTCCTTCCTTTCTCCCTTTCCTCCCTCCCTCCTCCTTTCCCTTCTTTCCCCCTCCTCCTTTCCTTCCCCCCCTTCCCTCCTTCCCTCCCTCCCACCCACCCACCCACCCACCCACCCGTAGATAGATTCCTGTAGCTAGGCGAGCAGCAATAGAGAAACTGCTCTGAAGCAACTCTTATTGCCGTTCTTGGTTCCTTTTGGATATGATGGGTTGTCTGCATGAAGCAATCAGGAGATCAGTTCACAGAATGAAAAGGATCCCCCTCCCCCTCCCAGACTTATTCGCAATTCCCTTGAAGTTCATAGTGGGAAAACTGTCCCTGGGAAATCAAACAGAAGTGATCATTTCTAGAAATATTATGAAAAGCAACCATCTCAGGAAGCAGCTATTGAAAGTTTTAGACATGCCATTTTAAGTGCAATATTCAATGTAATCCAGCACGAATCCATATCCTGAAATCGAAGACACTCTCCATGACATATTTGCTGGGAAAGGGTTATTAATGCTCGGCTATATTTTCCTTTCTCAGTGCATAGAAAATGCATATTAATTCTTCTACTTTGCGGCCAGTCTCAAATATTATTCACTCTGCTTTATCTATAATTTATCTACAAATGAAAGTGATGACAAATACAATTCCTACATATAAAATGGTGTAGGCTTTCTTCCCTTTAATGCCGAGTACTTCTAAGAACTGATATACACGAAGGAATTAAAATGTTTGCAGTACTTCTAAAGAGTCCTGTGTACTTATAATAAACTCTGTATTTATAATCTGAGAAATTGGAGGCCTTACTTGAAACTGTCTTGGGTATTATACAGATTTCTCTCCCAGAGAAACAAAAAATATATTGAACAATCAGGGACTAATGTATTTATACATTAATCTAAAGCAAAAATGACTAATTAAAAGCAAATCACAGTCTGTTTATTAATGTAAAACAGTTGTAGACAAGGTAGATGAATAAATAATTTTATTTTTTATTTCCTTTATAATGGTTTCTTCTTCTACAAGATAAATCAAATTTATGGATATGTCCCATCATCTTCATCCAAATTGGAATGGCCAGTCTAGAGAAAAGAAGGATTAGGGTGGGACATGGTAGTAGCATTCCAGTATTTGAGGGGCTGCCACAAAGAAGAGGGGTCAAATTATTCTCCAAAGCACCAGAGGGCAAGACAAGGAGCAACTGATGGAAACCGATCAAGGAGAGAAGCAACCTGGAACTAAGGAGGGAATTTCCTGACAGTGAGGACAATTAACCAGTGGAACAGAAGTTGCCTTCAGATGTTGTGGGTGCTCCACCACTGGAGGTTTTTAAGAAGAAGCTGGACAGTCACTTGTCTGAAATGGTATAGGTTCTCCTGCTTGAGCAGGGGGCTGGACTAGAAGACCTCCAAGGTCCCTTCCAGCCCTATTCTGATTCATTGAAGCCTGCGAGAGGCAACAACAAAGCCATCAACTCACCTTTCCTCTTAAAAGCCCCTCCAAAATGGTGACCGACTCTTACAGATGGAGAAAATCGGGTGTAGATTCCAGAGAGCCACAGAGTTGTAAAGAAATGGCCGGTTTTACTGGAAATTCAAACAGACCACGTCTTAGCCAGAAATCAATGAATCAAGACTGAGGCCTGAAACACATTCTGAACTGGCACAGAGTCAGTTGGTGATACTACCCCAGTTGAGAATTGGGGGTTGCTGACGGGTCAAAAGCAGGTTATGATTTCAACAGTTGTGGTTTCTTCCTTCCTGTCACATGCAAAAAAAGAAAAAGAACAAGAAATGAGTCACTTGAGAGGAACATGATATTTTTACTTCACGGGGGACTTTTGAACTGCATTGGCTGTAATGTTTTGAGAGGAGATGTCAAAAGGAACAAAGGTGCAGTTTTTGCTCCATCAGGTTTCCTTTCCAGCAGCATCCATGAAGTTTATTTATTTGATTTTTATCCTGCCTTTATTACTTTATATAAAGAACTCACAGTGATGAGCATATATAATATTCCTTCCTCCTTCTATTTTCCCCCTAACAACAACCCTGTGAGGTGGGTGGGACGAAGAGTGAGTGACTGGCCCAAAGTCACCCAGCTGGCTCCCATGGCTAAGGCGGGACTAGAACTCACAGTCTCCTGCTGATTGGTTCCACGTTTCCCAGCTGGCTCTCATGGCTAAGGTGGGACTAGAATTCACAGTCTCCTAGTGATTGGTTCCAAGTTTCCCAACTGGCTCTCATGGCTAAGGCGGGACTAGAACTCACAGTCTCCTGCTGATTGGTTCCACGTTTCCCAGCTGGCTCTCATGGCTAAGGTGGGACTAGAATTCACAGTCTCCTGGTGATTGGTTCCAAGTTTCCCAACTGGCTCTCATGGCTAAGGCGGGACTAGAACTCACAGCCTCATGCCTTAATGGCTAGATCAAACTAGTGGCTAGTTTTCTTAACAAGGGTTAGGGAAACTATTTGCCACCATCTTTTCTACTCCCACCTTGTCCTACGCAGTGTTTCTCAACCTTGACAATTTTAAGGCATGTGGACTTCAACTCCCAGAATTCCACAGCCAGCATTGCTGGCTGTGGAATTCTGGGAGTTGAAGTCCACATGCCTTAAAATTGTCAAGGCTGAGAAACACTGTCCTACGGGAAGGGGGGAACCCATCTGTCTGTAAAACAGGACTCAGCCTTCTTAGCTTCCGGTCCCAGACAAGATTAGCCGGCAGTTGACAAGGCAAGGCCAACAATCCACAGACGGGGAGTTCCAAGGACGATTTGGCCTTCCAGGAATACAGGGAGGAGAGCCCCCTCCTCAGTGCCCCTGGATGGAGGCTGCTGGAAACACCCGGGCACCTGCCTCAGGGCTTTTGCAAGCCTCCTGTCCCCAGAGACGGTGCCCGAGAGCACCACCACCACGGTTTCCCGAGCTCTTAGAAAGCTGGTGCGGAGGGGAGGCTGGACTAGAAGACCTCCAAGGTCCCTTCCAGCTTTATTCTATTCGAATGGTACTTCGGACAGGTGTATTGTGATCCTCTGGCAGGTGAGTTTGAAAGCGCCCGAAAGAAGCAGCCAGGGGTGCTTCCTCCTTATTGCAATACAGATAGTCCTCGACTTACGACCGCAATGGACTCCAACATTTCTGTCATTAAGTGAGATATCTGTTAAGTGAGCTTTGCCCCATCTTATGGCCTTTCTCACCACAGTTGTTAAGTGACTCACTGCAGCTGACCAGTCACCCGGTCGTTAAATGAATCGGGCTTCCCTGTGGACTCTGCTTGTTCAAAGGTCGCCCAAGGGGGTCTTGTGTCCCTGGGGCACTGTGCAACCGTCGTAAATGTGAGTCAGTTGCCCAAGGGGCGGAATTTCGATCAGGTGACCATGGGGGAATGCTGCAAGGGTCGCTAAAAATCCGTCCTAAGCCCCCTTTTTTCAGTGCCGTCGCAACTCTGAACGGTCACTAAACGAACTGTCATAAGTCCAGGTCTACCTGCAGCATTAAAAGTCCACAAAGGCTTGGCAGCCCACCGCCCAGGCCTCTTTTCTTCCTCGGATCAGCCCCCCCCCCATGTTTTGAAAGATTTGAGAGGCGACGAGTAAATTGGGGCGGGGGGGGGGCTCCGTCTTCGGCCCATCCCGCTCGGGCTCCCCGCAGCCCAGAAGGTGCCCCGGCCCCGGGCGAGGCGAGCTGGCCCGGCAGCCGCTCTTCCGCCCGGCCATGAGCTGGGCGCCTCCAGGAAGCGCGCTCCCCGCTGGGGCTTCGGCCGGGCCGGAGGGAGGGGCCCCTCGCAGCTGGCCGGCCGCGCCCCCCGCCCCGCCCCGCCCGGAGAGCCCCGCCGTCGCTGGCAGCGCAGCCATGGCCGGGTGGCTGGTGGATGGGACGCAAGTAAGTGCTCCCCGCGCTCAGCCTCCTCCTTCTCCCTTCTTTCCTCTCCTCCTCTTTTCCTCCTCCTCTCCTCCTCCGGCTCCCCTTCCTCTTCTCCTTTCTTCCCCTTCCTCCTCTCCCTTCTTTCCTCCTCTTTTCCTCCCCTCCCTCCTTTTCTTCTCCTCCTCTCCCTCTTCTCCTTTTCCCCTTCCTCGCCCCCCCCGCTCCCCGAAGCCCACGTGCGCGCCCAAACTTTCCCAAACTTTCCCTCGACGCCGCCCCCTTTCCCTCTGTCGCGCTTGGCCCCGCCCCCTCCCGCCTTTCGGGCTTCCGCCTGCCCGGCGGGAGGAAAAGGGGCGGGAGCGAGACGCCCCTCCCCAGCAGGGGGGGCCCACACGCGCGTGCTCGCCTGCGGGGGTCCCTGGCTGCGAAGCCCCCCTCGCCGCCTCCTTCCTTCTTCTCCTCCTCCTCCTCCTCTTCCAGAGTTACCTGGGTTGGTGTCAACGGGCGGAGGAAAACAAGATCACGTGATAGAGTGCCTTGCGGCCAGTCCTCGACTTACGACAGCTCCTTTAGTGACCACCCGAAGTCACGAGGGTAGGGAGAAAAGGGGCTTAGGATTGTTTTTCACAGTCACGTGGCTTGCATTCAGCTGCTTGGCAAGTGACTCCTACTTATGATAGTTGCAGCATCCCCTGGGGTCACGTGGTCCCCTTTTGCGACTGTCTGACTAGCGAAGTCAGTGGGGAAGCCCTGTTCACTTAATAACTGAGTCGCTAACTTATAAAACCCACAGTATGTAGGAGTTTGGTATCTGCAAGTAGTCCTCCATTTATAACCACAGTTGGGATCAGAATGTCCATTGTTAAGCAAGGCAATTGTTAACTGAGTGGCCATGCTCGTTAAGCGAATCACATAGTTATAAGTCAGGGCTCTTAAAACTTGGCCCTTTGATGACTTGTGGACTTCAACTCCCAGAATTCCTCAGACAGCCTCCATTTTGTTTGTTAGATTTAAGACGGGGGTCTTCAAACTTGGCCCTTTGATGACTTGTGGACTTCAACTCCCAGAATTCCTCAGCCAGGCACACGTGCCCTGGCTAAGGAATTCTGGGAATTGAAGTCCACAAGTCATCAAAGGGCCAAGTTTGAAGACCCCTGTTCTAAGTGAATCCAACTTCATCCAACTCGATTTTGCTTGTGGGAAGCTGGTAAATGATGACCTGACCTCAGGATACCGCAAATGTTGTAAACCCATGTCAGTTGTCAAGCCTCTGAATTTTGATCATGTCACAGTGAGGACGTTCTGATGGTTGTAAGTGCGAAGACTGGTCATAAGTGTGAGGACTAGTTGCAAGTCCCCCTTTTCCGTGCTGCTGTAACTTCGAATGTCTGTAATTTGAAGACTATCTGCGCTCTTCTTTACAAAACAGCCAGGATCTGGCAATTTAAGATATAAAGAAAACAAAGTTTGTTTTGCTGGACTTGTGCTTGCTGGTAGCCATTAAGAAGGCAGTTTGAGAGTTAACCAGGTTCTTCCTTGTTTAATCCCTTTTCCGACACTACAGTCTTTTGAATCAGCATCCTGGGGAGAGAGGTTGTTTGCCCACCCTTGGCTGGGAATAACTCTCGTCTGCTTTTAGATCCGCAGCAAACTTTAAAATTCCTGACGTGTAATATAAGCTGTTTGCTCAGCGGATATCTGCCATTTTATCTACATATATATGGTACCTGATAAAGTGCAGCTAAGTCTGCTGCATAACCAAACAGTCCAGTGGTTTAAGTTGTACAAACTTGTATTTGGACAGTGAACAAAAAGTTCACAGGGTCTTTTTTTTTTTTTTCTTATTCGAGAAGGAAGGAAAAAAGTTTGGGCAACCATTGGCTGGATTAGCTTAATATTTTTTTAAAAATCCCGATTGGCCAAACAAGTCTTTTTCTGAGGTTAGTTTAATTGATTTAACAATTCGAAGCAACCATCAACACCAACATTGTTTTGGCTCAGCATATTGGGGGCTTGGACCTTCCATGATTTCTACATTGCAGAATTTTATGTACTTAGTTTCTCTTTGTGATGAAAACACATAATGGTTTTGATCACATGGGTTACTTTCTATCCAGTACTAAGGTCAACAACAAAATGTTGCTTAAAGAAGTAGAAACATATTAAAGTAGATAAAAGTAAACAATAAATATTATGATTGGTTATAATGGAGTTTATAGATAACAAAACAAAAATTTGCCACACAGGAGCTGAATCTTATTGGCCAGCTAACAACAATTATAAAGTTCCAAATGACCCAGAAATTTAATTAATAGGTGGGAGTAATAAAACACAGCCGTACCTTTTAATAAATGGGGTAGTGCAACATTACATGGATTATATTTTCAGCTCTTCTCAAGGACAGAATCTTGAAGAACAAGGGATTTTTCTGAACTTTTCTTCAAGGGCAGCTGTTGAAAGTGAAATATTAGGTCAACACTGTCCTCAATTTAGGGATGCATAGGTTGGTTTAAATGTCTTATATATTGTGAGGACAATTAAACAATGGAACAGTTTGCCTTCAGAAATCGTGGGTGCTCCATCACTGGAGATTTTCAAGAAGAGGCTAGCTAGACAACCACTTGTCTGAGATGGTATAGACTCTCCTGCTTGAGCTGGACTAGAAGAACTCCAAGGTCCCTTCCAGATTCTATTCTATTCTATTCTATTCTATTCTATTCTATTCTATTCTATTCTATTCTATTCTATTCTATTCTATTCTATTCTATTCTATTCCATTCCATTCCATTCCATTCTATTGAATACATTGTAGAATGGAATGGAATAGAATAGAATAACAGAATTGGAAGGGACCTTGGAGGTCTTCTAGTCCAACCCCAGGCTTGTCAGAAAGTTGTGAAAGGGAACTCACCCAATCCTTGGGACTGTCATAAACAGGAGTCAGTTTGCCAAGTGTCTGAATTTGGATTGCATGACCATGGGAATACTGCAACGGTAGTAAGTGTAAAAAACGGCCATAAGTCACTTTTTTCAATGTTGTCGTAACTTCAAATGGTTGCTAAAAGAACCATTGTAAGTTGAGGACTACCTATATTGGGTTTTTATTTTTGTAAGCCACCCATAATCTCTGAGAGTGAGTGGGTGGCCATATACATTTAAATAATACAATAATAAAATAAAAATAATAAAATAAAATAAAGTAAAATAAAATAAAAAGGCACCAATTAAGATCTGTGGATGAACCTTTGCTACTAGTGCATTAAGAGATATAGATATCAATATTTCTCCTCTAGAGTAATAAAAAAGTTTGCAGAGCTGCATGTTGTTTTTAAAAAGCTTAGTGGTCCAGGCGGGAGGGTTGACAGAGGACTGGAAGATCTTTACTAATTCTGGAGCAGAATTCAAAATAATGACATTGACATCCATACCTTTCCTCGTAGTAATTCTGGATATTGTGAAAATTGGGCTTTTAGTAGAATTGACTGTAAGAAAAAGGATAGCAGATGCCTTAAAAAAAAAAAAAGGAATAAAATCACAAGAATGAAGCCCTGTTGTGTTTTTTTTTTCCAGCTCATGTGTTCGCAATAAAACTATTTCTCCATAGTCAGTGATCTCTTTCTCCGATAAAGTTACGGAAGAAGAATGGATTAAAGCAGATGAAATACTACAGTATCTGTCTGCAATCATTTTAAGACCTGCTGAACTACAAGGGTGATTTGTAAAGTTAGGGGAGGCATTGGCAAGTTGTCAACGGAAAGTCGATTGCGTGTTAGAAAACATGAGTTATCATCCAAACACAACTTGCCGGATTCTTGTTTCCTTGTTTTTATCTGGAACTTGGAGAAATGGAGCTTCAGAGACAAATGGAAACTTCATAAGGACCTTAAAAATGGAGCTCTGAACAGAATATATGATTACTTGGCTGTTAAAACTACTCTAACTAATAGGAACCTGTCAAAATTATTCTTGCAAATGTACAATATATCACTGTGGGGTTTTTTTTTTGTCTGAATATAAAACATTGGATCAACTTTCCTAAGTGACCTACTAAAGTTCATGATAAATTTTATTGGAGATTTCAAAGATATGCTGCATTTTCCCCTAAACTTTCAAACACCGATAAACCTCCAGGTGGCCTCAAGGATTCTCTAAAAGAAGACAAATGACCAGCTGTCTGCAAGGAGTATAAATCCTTCCATTCCCCACCATCTTCTGGACTAGGCAGCCATTTGACCAGGATGGTATAAGGTCTCCTGCCTTGGGCAGGGGGAGTGGACCCAAAGACTTCCAAGCTCCTTCCAGCCTTATGTCTCTGTGATTCAATTCATGAATTAGTATCCCCTTAAAGCAGTGGTTCTCAACCTGTGGGTCGGGACCCCATTTGGGGTTGAACGACCATTTCACGGGGGTCGCCAAACAACGCAGTCCGCCATTTTCCCCCCCTTTTCCTTAGCTGTGCTACTCCCTTTTATTCTACTGGCTTTTGAAAGCCAATAGAATAGACTCTCTTGAATAGAGTCTAATTCTATTGGCTTTCAAAAGCCAATAGGAATTGTCCAGGCTGTCTCTGCCCTGCTGAGCCCGCCAAAAGTCCCATTCTGCAAACGGTGCTGCACCAGTTGAGTAGTCCTCGACTTACGACCGGTTGAGTAGTCCTCAACTTAACGACCGGTTGGGGGTCGCGGCATTAAAAAGGTTGAGAACCACTGCCTTAAAGGCTTTGGATAACTGCAGTACGATCACTCCACTCTGCAATGTATTTGTAGAAGAAATTGGAGAATGCAGTGTCTGCTTGCCTGTGTAGTATGTCCCTGGGTTACATGCATGTTGAGGTTAAAAGTGTCAATAATCCCAAATTGCAAGCACAGCTGGCTCCTTACATGGGTGTTATGCACGGAGGCCCCGCTAAAGCTCTGTAGAAGTTGGAAAGCAACTTGACTTAATCTTGATTCCTACCCTAGGAAGAGGGAGCAATCGGGACCCATATTATCTGATTCAGGGACGGAGATAGTGGGCCCCAATTTAGGAAGATCTAAATTAAAATTTAGCTCTTTACCTTGAATTCATTATATGAACTCTACGCTTCATATTCTTTCCATCTGCGATCGTATTGGCTTATTTCACACAAGGCTCACTGCAATAATGCCAGTGTAGACTTAGGAAAGCGTTACACAGAAATGCAAGGTCCCTGCTAATACTTTCTCATAAAGCAAGCCTCTGATTTCTCTTCCATTTCAGACTGTTTGAGAGCCACACAAAATAAACTTAAGATAAAAGGATGGCCGAAATTATGCGGGCTGTTTAATTAACATCTTCATTTTGAAATTCTGAAATTTCAAATCAGCCTAGTGGTAGAACTTGATAAAACAGTAATACAGGTAGACCCGGACAGCTGATGAAAGCAATTTATTATCTCAAACATTCAGTTTCAGTTTTCAGCAATTTGCTTTACAGAGGATTGCTAAACGGGGAGAGATGCCTCCAAATCCCAAAATGCATAGTTACTAATCTCTCCCATTTTTCATCCTTATAGGTGTCTTACATTGGCCAGGACTGCAAAGCAATTCCAGAATTCCTTGGGAGAAAATATGGAAGCATCGCGAAAAGACTGGATCTCAGCTTCAACTTATTACGGTAGGACATGCATGTAAATGGTTAAGCTGCACCTTAACAGGGGAAACTTCCTTGTTCTTTTTTTGTTGTAGGTCATTGATATTTGTTTAATTCTGGACACGTTTATCTAATTTCATAGACATTGTACCAAACACAATTGCAGGAAGCTATATGTATTTAATATCTTCTTTACGTACGGGAGAATATTAGCCAAAAGGATTGCTTGACCCCTTGATTATAGCTCAGCTTTTGTTACATAAGTTTTTTTTTACATGTCTTTTTTGTTACCCGGTTTTGCTAAAAGAAGAACAAAATGAGAATGGATTCAAGGAGCAGAGGGAAAAAAACTGATTCAAAAGGTTCATAAAAAGATCTGTTTCTTAAAAAAAAACCCCAATTTCCTTGATTTTGGAATGAAAAGAGTTTCTTGACTCTGAATACATCGCAGCTGTGGAAATAATACCTGGTTAGTATTTTTGTTCTGAGCAGAATTTGTCACCCAGTTTCACCCAGGTTAGCCTTGCAGAATTGGATGTCTCTGCTTAAACCAAGGTCTTCAAACCCTTTACAACACTTGGGTACCTGAGACTGTAGCCCCCGCCCCCCCATCCCAGACTATGCCGAGGAGGAAAGCTAAGACAAAACCAGAAGCTCCCACACAGAAAGACCCAGAGCCTCTAAAGCAGCGGTCTTCAAACTTGGCCCTTTTATGACTTGTGGACTTCAACTCCCAGAATTCCTCAGCCAGGCACGCGAATTCTGGAAGCCGATGTCCACAAGTCATAAAAGGGCCAAGTTTGAAGACCCCTGCTTTAAAGTCTCAACTGAGACTGGGGACAAGGTGATCTGCTTTTCCACCACGCATCTTCTCTCCCAAAACTGAGCTGGGGAACAGCAGTCCTTTATGGTGAGACATCTCATTACCTTTAATTGTTATTGGAATAGTTGCTTTTTTCCCCATCCAGAATTAGAACTTATATAAGAGTTGCTTAAAATTTGCAAATGTAGCGTCTGGTTGATATCCGTACGGTGATGTGATTCCCAGCTCAGGAACACCTCTGCTACCCCAGAATTATGGCCAGGTATAGGATGTGGGAGGAGGTTCCCCGAGACTTCTCCAGAACCTTTATTTTGGGGTACTCATGGGAATGTTGATCTCCTAGAAAACTTGCATTGGGTCTTGTGTGAGATTGATGTATTTCCTTCCCGGGAAGTTCCTCTACAATCTCAGTCAACCTGGTCATGGAGCATCTATGGATGAGAGTGGATGGTCCACTAGCAGGTATGGTTGAATTCCGCAGATTGCTGATCTTTGAAGGCTCCTCGGACTTCCTCTCCAGGTGTCCTAGAAGGTCTACCTGTGTCTTATGTTGGGAAATAAAGGGAAACACCACTGGAACGCAGAATGCTTTGGAATGATGGACTGGGGAGGACGGATCCTCTGCAGACGATTAGAAATAGAGAAACATAGAACGTGGAGGGCTGAACAAGACCTAGCATTCCACTGAATCTGCTCTTTGAGCGTGTTTTTTGTTTTCCTTTCAAAAAAATTATTTATGCATTTATTTACTGATGTATTATTTATTTATTATTGTTGATTATTATTTTTATACTTTTATCTGTTTTATTTATTTTATTTTTTTGTCGGATGACGGACAACATGTTTATCCCAAACTCACTACCTCTTCTGGAAGTTGGTTTTGAGCTTCCGCTACTCTTCCTGTGAAGTCATGCTTTCTGACATGACTTTTGAAGGTCTCTCCTCTCCGTCTGAGGTTACATCTCCATCTTCTTGATTTTTACTTAGTGTTTGGTAGGGGTGTCTTCATGCTGCAGCAGTTGGCGTGTATGGATGAGCTCTTAAAAACTCATATGTATTTTTTAAAATATATTTTATTGATTTTTTTTAACATAATCGCCATAATATTTGGTAAAAAGCTCGTTGTCTGGGTTTATATTAAACAATCACTAACAATTCGTTTCTATAACCTATAATCCACATAGAAGCTTTGCTTGATTTTTCTCTTCTTCCAATAATATTCTCTTTGCCAACTTTGAATTAATACAATTCTTATTATTTTGATAAGTAACAATTAAGTATAAAGATTTTTCCAACATTTCTACAAATAATAATCACATCCATATAATGCTTCTTTTCTATTTAGAGATTTTGGTTGTCTCGTCAGAGATCCTGTTTACAATTCTTATTTACATTTGTTTTACCCACAGGGTTCAAAACATTCTTACTCGTTAAGATTTTCTCAAAATTGATTACATTTAAATATTTAAGTCTATTTTCTTCATACACGCCATCCCAACACTTTTACATTTCTCATGTCTTAAAAAATAAAAACAAAAAAGAGAAGAAAAAAAAAGGAAGAAGAAAGAATAAGAAAATAGTATACTACTTAAAATACATACCCCTCTTAAACTAATATACATTTGTTTCCAAAATTTTTCTGTTCTTTTAAAAACTCATATTTTTTTTGGTTCTGGACTTTTTTCCTTGGCAAATGATTCACAAACAAAGCTTTGGTCAAATTATTTGCAAATGGGAATGAGATTCTAGTTTGTTCTTAGCTTTAGCAGAAAATAATGGTATCTTGATGTGTGTGAAGATAGGAAGAGAGTTCGTGTGTCGGTAAAGAATGTGTGTTTTATGGAAATGAATTACACAATTATATAACCTGCAATCATTTCTGTGGATTACTTAGATTAGTTTACAATGTACTCATTGGCTATGCGCTCCTTAGTCATAGTTCTGAGAGAGATGATGGCCCCAAATTAAAACAATTTCTATGTATTACTGGCCTATCTGATCCATGATGGACGTATCAAGTGTCTCTTGTCATTACCTTTCTTCTTTTTCTTTTTTCTGATAATTCAACTTATCCTTGCTTTTAATTTAATTTTTCAAGTAGCATAAAGTATGATTGGGAGCTTGCTCAGTCAGGGATTTGTTAGGCTTCCTGGAAATCTTGAAGTGAAAAGGGAAAAAAAAAATGACATTACCGATAGCAGCTATGTGCGTTCCTGATTTGATAATAGCAGAAGGGAACTGGGTCTACTAGTGTTTTGGCTTGCTTAAAGAAAGCAAGAAAATAGATCTAAATTAAAATGCATTTAGATTTAGCATGAATGCAAGGTATGCAAATGGATATGATATGATAGTAGCTTACATAACGCTCTTCTTTGGCTAACTTTTGTGTTACCCAGTTTTAAAAAGAGAAGAAATGCAACTTAATGGAAGTCGGGCATGTTTTAAGGCAGCAAGACAAAATAGGCCAGGCGCCTAAAAAGTCTAGTTTCTTCTACCTTGTATTGCTCAGGGCTTACATTTGACAAAAACCAAAGATGTAACCGACACCAATGCTTCCTTAAAAAAAAAAAGAAAAAGGGAATGGATCTTTTCAATAGCAAGTTGTGATGTTATCTGGATTATCTTCCTTTACCTTGATACAGGTGGTCCTTGACTTATGTCCATTTATTTAGTGACCGTTCAAAGTTACGACAGCACTGGAAAAAAAAGACTTACAATGGGTCCTCGCGTTTATGACCGTTGCCGCGTCTCTACACTCGTGTGATCAAAATTTGGGCACTTGGCAACTAGAATGTGTTTGTGACGGTTGCAGTGCCCCACAAGCGAAGTTAATGGGGGAAGCCAGATTCGTATAACGACCGTGTGATTCACTTAATGGCCACAGCACAAGATGTCGTAAAATTGGGTGCTGCTCACTTAACAATCAGTTGGGTCTCAATAAAAGCCATGAGTCAAGAACTATCTTGTATTTGTTAATAAGATTTTTATGTCACTTTTACACTTTTACAAGCCGGTGTCTGGCAAAATAAGGAAAGAGAGATGTTAAAATGAAGCATGACAAAGAATAAAAAATGATATTTTAAAATCTGCCTCAAACTACTTTAAAAAGAGATCCCTTTGTTCCTTTTTATAATGGAAAGAGATAAGAGGATGTGATAAAGGAGAAGGTGTGTTTTTTTACATCACCTTAAGCATGGAGTCTCTGAAAGAGCCTCTCCATGCAAATATATTATTCTCAGATCAAATAATGTGGATTTTAAAGTTGCATCAGAAGACCCTTAAAGTAGGTCTGTCAGTCCTGGCTGTGGTGAATGAAATTGGATTGCTGCAACAAGTTTGCTAGAACACAGAAGGAAAACAATTGATTTTTGTCTTTTTAATATTAATTAATATGACGATTGTACGTTGCCTGGAGTTATTTGAGCTGTGAAACACGCAGGCACAAACACACATACAGACATACAGACCCACCCACCCACATGCATATATGCTTTAGGATCCTTTGTATTGTAAAATAAATGAAAAAATAAAATAAAATAAATGAAATGAGGAAAAAGCTATTTAAAATATGCAGCCTAAAAAGAAACAACTCTGAAATCGGGATACTGAGAGATCATCAGTCTGGTTTTAGTTTTAGCTGACTAGTGTGCAATATTATGGATAAATAGAAAAACTAATGTCATTTGGTATTTTTGGCAATATGGATGAAATATCCTTCCGTGAGCCAATCTTCTCTCTCTGTTGTCCACCTCAACTCTTGACTTGTACATATATTTTCACCACTTTGGAATTTTTAGCAAGGGCGAATGTTTTGTCCTGAAAAAAGCAACAACAACAGATTGCTTCAGTCCCACCTTAGGAGGAAGTGCAAGAAACAAGTTTCTCTCTTATTTAATTTGTAGTGTTTCTTTCAGCTCTGAAACCAATGAGTGGTTTAGACCAGCCTTTTTAAAAAAATGCTCCTGGTTTGGAGAATTTGGGTGCAATAATTTTGCAGGATTTTCTGGAGCAAGAATTTTGTGGGACCAAATAATCCACAGCTGACACAAGAAGTGTTGAAACTTGTTTGACGGAAACCTTTTTTGGACTTGGGTCAAACCCTAAGAGGCTTATCGCAAGAGAAATATCTCTTGGTGTGGAAAAGATGGATAAACTTTATACAGTATAAGTATGATATTAAAAGATATTATTTAGCTTTTGA